GAACTTGAGTTCGCCTTCATAGAATTAAATTCCAGTTCATTTTGAGAGGAATCCCATATTGTTTAACAATCTGACGACAATGGCCCCCACAATGGTGCCACTACGGCTGGCGTATGGAACCTTGGCACCCAATTTTGGGCGCCACCATACACTCTTGTTTCTTTCCAATTGCTGAATTCAGTAAGCCAGTGAAAGAACTTCATCCTGAGGCAGTGCCACCCATAGTCGCATGCCAAAGGAGGGGAGCGTGGTTCCATGGGCGCGTCACGTCGAAATCCGCATAGTCGTCATATCGGGTTAATCGAGATTAATGGATTGTGAAAGGATCAAGATAATAATCAGATAATAATATCTTTAGCAAATGTTGTTTGCAGCTAAGCCATAATGAGATCAAAGTTTCTTGGACAGAAGCCTGCGCAGATTGTCAGGGATACAAGGTATGTCACATTTCTATGTACAGGCGTTACTACTACTGTTCATGGGAAACCTCATGGCATCACCTGTATAGTGTGACTGGAGCAACTAGGGTGTGCAGGTAGTATGCAGAGCAACCAGCTGCTTTTTTTCGTAATGATTAGGGTCTCCTTGGATACGTATTTGGCGAATAGCGAATAATGCGGTGGATCGTAATAATATCTACGTTTTGACTGCTGCCCGGCCGACAACCAGCGGAAATCGTCCCATGCTCAGTGAAACTGCATTTTTTAGCGCAGCTCTTCTCCTTCAAGATCGACTGAATCGAGTAGTCTATAACGTTCAAATCAGGGGAATAAGCGGATCATCCTTCTGCTGCCACGAAATCGATCAAACTGTCACAGATTCACTTTTACACCGAAGCCGATAAATGAGCTGGTGCACCGTCGTACTGGAAAATACAGTCGTTTCCAAAAGTCCAGTCAACCGCGACCTTCTTCAAAACTTTTTAAAGGCAACAGTTGTCATCGATTTTTGATCCACGGATTTATTTTTCACGAAAACCAATGGAATAGGCGTATTTGCAGATACTCCGGCCCAAACCATTGTCGATGCAGGATGTGAACCTCAAGTGACCACTGCTCCTACTCATAGCTTCCCTGGATGTCCTTGATAGTACACGGGAGTTAATACCAATGATGATGATCGTGGAAAGTTTTCATCGATGAAGAGGATCCCCAAAGGCGCACCATTTGCGTCCTCTTTAGGAACCTTCCAATTTCACACTCTACTTGTCTTATGGGCGTCCGAGTTAGCGTTCATATCTCTATGGGTTTATAAAAGAGCATCCAAAGTCTATTATGCACTAGTCTTCTCATCGTTCGATTAGGAACTCCCAAATCCCTGGCTATCTTCTCAATGCTTCTCACTGGATTGTGGTAGATTTGGTTCCTAAGCACTCACGAGTCGATTTGTGGCTGCCAAGGCTGGACGACCTATACGAGGAAGATCACGACGTGCCTCGGTTCAGACTTTTATGAAAAGTTTGACGATGCATCTTGAGTTACAGCAAATTTCGACAGGAGTATGGAGGGCAAGGATGCAGCTTTTTTCGGATAAAGTGGAGCCATTCGCCATTGAAGCAGTATCAAAGCAAGAAACCGAAGACTTATATGTGGAAATTATTGGCGAATTTTGTCACTTAGCAGGAACCTCGTTCATTATTGTTTTCTCCCTTTTTAAGTAACAGTGTTGTCACCGTATTCATGCCTCACCATGTGGTTGGGCTTCAGGGTTGGCCATAAATATAGCGACAAGGTTTTCACCTTATATCTCAGAAAGCAAAAGTGCAAACGAGCCATGAACATAACATTTATTAAGTAACAACTGGTACATTGACGATCATAAGTTACTTCTCGATTCGGCCACCTTTGGCACGGACGACAGCGCTGAGTCACTTGGGAAAGGCGTCGATGACCGTACGCAGGAGTACGTCGTCGATTTTGTCCCATTCTCGGATGAGCGCTGCCTTCAGAGAATCCAAATTGGGGTGGGGAGTGGGGCAGACCTTGCTCTCAAGGTAGGACAAGTTATAGTACAGTGGGTTCNAATTCGGTGACGATGCCGGCCATTCTTCTGCCGAGATGAAGTCGGGGAGTTCGCTCTTGCACCACGCTTGGACGGCCTCGGCCTCGTGGGCGGGTGCCGAATCTTGCTGGAATGTCCACGAGCGGCCGTTGGAGTGGGAATTTGCGGAACGGGAGTAGAGCATCTTCCAGAATCGTCTTCAGGTAATAATCTTTGTCGATTTTGACGCCGGGGTCGACGAATATCACCCGCGTCTTCCCCGAGGCACCCACCCCTGCCCAAACCATGAATTGGGCAGGGTGTGCGGCCCGGTGAACGACTCTTCCCTTCTTGTCGGCTTCCTCGGCATTCTTTGAAATCACTTTAACGTTCTGAGCGTTGAACTGCTGCTCGACGGTGAAAAGCTTCTCATCCGAAAAGATGATCGAATGGTGACCCTTGTTGCGCGTCCGATGCAAAAGCTGTCGGCACTTCTTGACTCGCGCCTGCTGATCCGAGGTGCTGACGAAAGCAGCCTTCCGAGTACGGTAGGAGTGCATCTTAAAGCCTTCGTGGACGACCCTTCTCATTGACTTCGGCGAGATTCCCATGTCGCGAGCCATCGTCGAGATGCTCCGAGTCGCGTTTCTTGCTATCCACTTTCTGACGGCCTCGACGACCTTCGGCGTGCGAGCAGTACGAGGTCGATGCCGAGGTGCTTGGAGATCGTGGCGGGTGGACGGCAGGCTTTGTGCAGACGAACGATGGCGGAACGATCAAGAGAAGGCTTCACCATTTCACTATGTATGAACCAAATTAAACCAAATTTTAACAGGATTGAGAAAAAATGATGAGATTGAAAAATCCATAAAACTGGCGCGCTATGTGCGCGGTAGAATGTACGCTAACTGCAGCAAGCCTTGTCGCTATAATTATGGCCAATCCTGTATATCTGTGTTCTTCGATCTAGCGCTCGTGCAGTTTTGGGGACGTCCCACCATCTTTCTAAGTTGGAAACTTGTAAAATAAACTCATTTGACGGCTAAAGTCACCTGCTCCTTCATGGTTCCTGCTTTCTTAAACATACGAGGTACACGGTCCTGACTAGTCCGCTTCAATATGTATAAGAGTATTCCACTCACGAATGGTTGATATGGTTGTTTACACATTGCGATCTATCCCGAGCCGCACGTTAAACACAACATTCATGGCTAGTGTTCTACGTTTTAAACATAAAAAATGAATAAGGAAAATAACAGTGACGAAAGACAACGAAATCCTATTCCAATCTCAAAAACCTATGCTTACGAACAGGATCCCAGCGTTATGCCAAACCTGAGGCTCTGAGGCTGGCCGAGCTCATCATCAACTTTTTCCTAGATAATATTGCCCTTTCATCGATGTTCCTGAGTGCAAAGGAGTCGAGAGATGATCGATGTAGGCCCTGCTCAAAGGGCAGTAGGGACCCACCTTCTTCACCACGCGTGACGACCGTTCGATATATTGGGGTTTACGCTTATTCTTGAACCTAGCACACATCTGGAGCTTTTGGTGGACCACGACCAGAAAGGAGGGACCATGCAGGTGGCAGTCACCCCGACCGGTTGCGCCTTATCGAACGCCACATTGAATCAAACAAACGTCATGACACCATGTTTCACCTTTGAAGTAGAATGAGATGATTCCTCCTGCGGTCTCATGAGGGTTCGCAGTTTTTCATTACAAGACTTTCGAGAAGAAACTGGTTTGAAAGGAGAAAAGCATTCTTAAACATTTCTCATTGACTGATCAGATGGACGAGACCGAGGGCTTTCCAAAATGTCAGAGATTGTTGAGCTAGCGACTAGCTGATAATTAGATGTAGCTGAAGTTCAGGTATCAATAACTTCTGCCAACTTCAGTCGATCACATGTACTGAGCAAGGTTAGGAAAGCGTACAGGTTCAGTAGATTGACACCGTCGACCAGATACACGGTAAGACTATTTTATTCATCTGAACATTTTCGATATCACTAGTTTAATAGCTTTCTTACCAAGCTATGCTCAAAAACGCCGCGAGATAGCATAATATTGTAACTCAGGTGTTGTTTTGTTGACTATTAGCAGTAGTGATGATACTGGGTGCGATGAAAGTATGAACACACTCTTCATGGATCAATTATTCATTCTCTTCGATCGGGATGTGAAGAGGTCCCTTGGACGCGCTGAATTCGTATCGTCCTGTTGACTGAGATTTGTAGTCATTCATTGGTTGCTATGTTGTGGATGCGTGTGTGGGTGTTTGACCCGAAATTCATAACTCCTATTCTTTCCAATTCGGTAGGAGTACAGGCGGCAGAATGGGAACACTTATGGTAGGTGGCAGAACGGGGAGGGACGGTACGAACGTGCGTCCGAGGGTGCGCGCGGCAAATTGCGCGGCGAAGTTCGTGACGATTTGTATGACTGCAGCGCCAGTTTTCGGGACACAAACTCGAAGTAGTGTGTTTAGTAGGATCAGATGATCCTCCTAATCCACTCTATTTCAAACTTGGGCCCACTGATAGGCGCCAAAGTCGTTCAAATAATTACGAACTTCGCCGCGCAATTTGCCGCGCGCATCCTCGGACGCACGTTCGTACACATACCCCAGAACGGGACGTCGCCTACGAGGGTGGGGTTTGTGTAAAAATTCAAATTTGGACCTAGAGCGTTTCAACTTCGTAGCTGTACAAGAGGAAGGATTGGAACGCTTACGGTGGGTGGCAGAACCGAACTCCGTACACAAGAGGAAGGTCCGGGCAGAAATGGTTAAATTAGACTTCAAGCGAAATTTCAAAACCAATGTTGAATAAGTCGGCAATGAACCGAGTTCCTCAAACACACAGAATCTAAGCAAGTCCGCTTATGGCTATGGCGGACGGGGGCGCACGAAGTAAGTCGGGTAAGCCAATTCTAATACGAGAAGGAGGGGAGCCTGGCGTCCGCCGAGCGATCCGACTGGTAGGGTTTACGAGCAAGGAAGAGGGAGTTATAAATGTCATGTACCTACAAGAGAGTTGTGCACTTCTATAGCAGCCCCATGCGAACTTCCAAATTATTCTAGAAAATTCCAGAGGAAAATCTGGACTGGTGTGCAATTTCCGCAGATACTTCCGAACGGCCTTGTATACTTAACGAGTTTATTGCTAGGATTTATTTTTGTGTATTTATATCACCATATATTTTGAAAATTCATTTGAATTATTAAGATAAGTGTGAATCCGATACCTGGACGTTTTATGGTGCTAACTTGCACGACTTTGGACAAAAACCATGAGTCGTTGTACAAGGACATAGCACATAAACGACAAACGGTGGCAGAGATAAAAGAACAAGTGAAACATTTGGAAGAAGCCGTAGAAAAACGAAAACTACTGAAGAGAGATCTTTTGATGCAGCGTGATCTTTTGGAAAGAAGAGTTAGCATTCTGAAAAGGGAATTGGAAATAAGATTCGGTAAGTTGGATTTCTAATAGAATTCAAGCTTCTATCAATGCTAGTGGCGCAACAATAAACGTTAGAGCATGTTTGCAACGGCAAATTCAGAGCATGTAATGCCTCCTCATATAGAATGTGCATATCGATTTTTCCGCGCTGAAGTTTTGTGGTGGACGTAGATTTTCTAGATGACTCTAGCTCAACTGCACCAAAGTGATTACAACATGACCCTTTTGGTATCCGGGTCCAATCCCCCAACATGGTGGGATGGCAATTGAATGAAATTTTCTGCGGGGTCGAATTTAGCTGAAAGAGGTTCAAGCCAAGGTTCACATTAGGTTTATAAAGCAGGGCCTGCTACTCTCCACTATCGACCGTAAACCGCTCTAGTGTTCAACATCAGCGATTTTCTCAGCGTATCGGGTCTGTTCTAAAACATAGGTTTGAGGCAATTTATACTGACGATTGAAATGACAAGTTCGATCGAAGTAAAGTACACCAAGAGAAACGTGGTCTTGATATTGTAGTCCCATTTGTCAACTTTCAGAGCGTATAGCAGAAGTCAATCAAGTGAATATGCTGAAGACCGTTTTTATTGTCTGCGAACTCCTAGTAATAATCATCCTGAGCGCTCTTCTAGTGAGTTTTTACTTTGATATGGCTGAATTGGATCTAATAAGATACGACAGTTACCATAATCTTCCATTGGGAGACAAAAGTTCCCCTCCACGCCGCGCGCGATCTGCTGCGGCAAGCGCGGCACCGTTCCGGTAAGGAAAAGTAAGGAAAACCATACCTCAAAAATCGTGGGGAGAAAGGAGGAAAGGAGGGAGAAAAGACCCTCCGTTTCTCAAACATTGTTAAGCGCCAGAGCGCAGAGGTGGATGGGTAGTCTACATTACTTGTGCTGAGAGATCGTTCCGAGTCAAAGGCATACAGTTTCTATCCGTGCCTTTAGAAGGAAGAGAGCACTAGAAAAATTAGATGATTAATTCGTGCAAAAAGCTGGGACAGGACTTGTGTTGAACATTCAATCAACTCTCACCCCACTACTCCTACCCTCCAGCTGAGAAACGTTCGTAAGCCTCTTCACCGGCTCACAAAGCTGCCTATCTCTCCTTTTGTGCTCCAGCGCTCAATGTTTTAGTAAGCGGTGCCCCCCCCCCTAACATCCCAACATCCCAACTTCATTTCCACAGCTTTTTTCATCCGAAGGAGCAGTCTCATGGCAACAGGTATCTCCCAAATTCAGATTACTCGCAGTGTAAACCTCTTAGAAGGTAAACCTGCCCCGGAAATTTGGAAATGCCCCTTTCCTAGTTTCCAAGTTTGGGATGGATCGCAAAAAATTTGAACCAATTCACTTTCTGCCCTACTTTTGCATGTGTCCACCTGCCTTTGCAGCTGCTAGCTGAAACGAAAATTGGGAAAATCCTCGGCGGTTTGGGAGTTCAAAGTTTTGAAGGATGACTATAGCATTTACATTGATGTAATGGCTTTTTTTCAGGCGCTGAGAACAATAGATCCAAAAAAGTTGGTTTATCTTTTTTTCGTATTTTAGTTGAAGGTCTCCACGGTTTCATAGATAACAGAAGCCTGTGCTACGGTGACATTCCTTACAGGCATTAAGGCTGAATAATTCCATGCAGGATCGGTAAAACGGGGAGGGAGCGGGCGGTTATGCTATCGAGTTTAGAGCTCTATACAAAAACCTCTATTTCGATTGAAAAATGGTTCTAGTGCCGGATTCATTAACTCACTCGTCATTAGCTGCAGAGCGGATGAATTTCTTTCATCCACCGACTTTAATCTGTTCTCATTCATTACAGACTGAAGAGTCCTTTGTTGGCCAGAATCACCAAACAGGATTCAAAGAGCCAAGAACCGAAGAAAGAACGGAAAAACCGCTAGGGAAGATAAGCGACTGTATAGTTTCTCGAACGCTAAAAGCTAAAACGAGGTCATGCTCTGTTATTATTTATTATTTTGAACGGTTGTGTTTCTGTTGTTTCTGCATGAATAAATCGTTTGTGACTAGTCCTTCCTATTCCATATTATCAAAATCGTTGAATCGTCTATTTGTCTATCAATTCAAATCATTCAATAAACAATGGCTTTCACCTTCTTACGTTGTGGAAGCCACTGAATAAGCGTAGATCCATTGTCTGAATCTCTATGTACATCTCATCCGCCAATGGCTCCTCAACACTGTTGAAAAGTACACTTAATAAAAAAAGATTCTGTTTTTGGCAGCCTTCCATGCTTCGGCCAATCAAGCCAATGAAGCGCTTGAAAAGCTTGAGATGAGAACTAGATAGCCTTCATACTTGAGCCGGAATCGGTCTTGACGAGATATTCAATGACTGGTGATTGTATTCAGCACCAATGGCAGTTTAATGTGTGCAAATATGTCCAAAGGTCGAATAAAGGGGACGGGGTTAGCGAACACTGAGTGTGACCAGGATACAGGGATGTCCAGGCATGTTGGGTAGCTGGGTGAGCTTGAGAATCCCTCCCAAGTTCTTCGAATTACATCGTCCTGTATGAACTATTACTTGTGGGAAGACATCGAGATCGTATTCTTTCGCTTTTCAGTGTTAACTATCGAATTGGGCCCATGTTCTCCGTCTGCTCAAATATGATGTCCAAGCCAGTCCCAGGTACGTAAAGAACTTATGAAAAATTGCCACCTATGCAAGGGTATGTATTATATTTTTCGATAGTTCTCTGTAAGGTTTGTCGATTTGTCTCGACTATTTTACAATTATGTAAAAAGGTGGCTTGATGACAACAATGTTGCCATCTTCATGATCGGAGTTCGATCCCACTCTGTCCCTTTCTCCCGATGGGGCTAGCCTCTAATTGTCAGGCTCATGCCCTGAACAGAAACATATTCGCCACTATTTCTATTGTCTTTCTACAATACAGAATCAAAATCGAATGTTTTTTGTTAAGATATACTTCGCTCATAGCTCTTTGTCTTCGGTCCTATCCGCTCCTATGAGTGTTACTTCATTTCCTGACTTGTACGTCGGCTTGGCCACCGTATTTCATTGTGTGGGCCAAATACGAGTTCAAAACGCCACCACAAATCTGCATTGAAGTGGAATGCTGGGGCGCATTCCTCAGATGGTGAACGCCAAAAGTCTAAAACCGTGTTCTTAGGTGTCCATTCTGTTCCTCAAAGCGAGCCTCGTTACGATTTATGTACTCTTCTGCTGAGTCTCACAAGGTTGGCAATTTGTAGGCAAGACTTCGGCCTCGTACGAGACTCGAACACATACTTATGCTTCCCATGCACTGAGCTCACGTACATCTGCTTTCCGGGCACTGGGCTCCTTATCCCTCACCTGCTCTTCTGCTGAGATTCTGAGTAATAACCATTTGGTCATGTCGAGATTCAGACCTGAAACCTTATCGAAGTCCTGTGACTGACGGGCATCCAGCCCACTTGCTTCTACGTGGACAGGGCCAGAACTGCCTAAAGATCTACCAAAGAACTCCCCATATACAAGGATGAACAGGAGATATTATGGTCAGAGCGGTTTTACCCGTTTGAAGCCACCCTATCAAACACTTTTATCAGGCCGCCCTTGACTTTGTTCCCATATCCATTTTCATGATTTACGTGGCCGTTGTGATGCGGTACCTGACCGTTAAATGACGCTAGGCTGACGGTATCCGGGTATTTCTTCTTACAACTTCTTTGTGTTCTCCGGCTCCCATCCTTGTTCTCAAGCATTCTGTCTTCAAATTGTGTGTCTACGTAAGGCTTCCTACCACTGAAAGGTTGATGATTTACAGAAGAGTTTATGCTCTGTCCAGACGTGATCCTAACCCGAGCATGCTCACTGCACATACGTTTCCAGTGAGTTGGAGGAACCCTATTTGAGAAAAGGAGGTTAGAATCGTACTGCTTACGCGAGCCTAAACATGAATATAGAACTCCTTCAGCGACATTCGAGGTCCAGTCAATGAATGAATGATGTTTAAACCCTCCGAGACATATGTACTCTGTCGCGAACTTACCCTTCTTTGAAGGAAGAAACACTCCCGCAGATATTGCAAGAAACGAAGTCAAAACTTTGTCTAGTTAGACTGTTTGCAGCAGTTGTACCGCTCTGCGAGATGAGGACATTTTAGAACCCACGGGAGGGAAAACTCAGCAAAGGTGGGAAATGTTTGAGACACATTCTTCGCTGTGCTGTGGAGCACTGCCTGTAGAGGTGTTTTAAAGATCATTGAGCATACTATTCAATTCTGAGCCTCTTCCTTCTGCGTCATTGCCCCATATAGTTCATCAGACCTTGGCACTTCGTCATAGGTTCTCTCCCCTTCAGGCCAGATTATGGCGGAAGATGCTTGTAGATGAGGTTCAATGAAGGTTGTTGCAATCGTAGAGAAATTCTGTTGGGCCTAGAGGACCACGTTTACAGGGAAGTAGTACCACGTACTTGAACATTCCAGAATTAGGATGCGCCGTGCATCTGATTTACATAAAATTCTGCTGTAATAATGACGATCATTACATTGTTCTTTGTAATATCTAAATGCTATAAATTCAGTTATTCATATAATGACTTAGCCATGAACTTTGTTGACTTGTGAGCAGTTTTCATTTTATTTACCATACTCAACTTGGAAAAAAGCCAGGTGTCCGCTAGACGACTCATTCAATGTGGAGCACTATAGGCTTGGATAGAACTCACCCTACTGGTCTACTGGTCGCACAGCTGGGCTGCGGCGTCTCTGCCCACTAGCCTGAGTTACTCCCAAATATGAAGACGTAGAAGTGGGGAATCCAGAGTCAGATTCTCAGTTTCAGCGAGTCTTCATTCAGAGTAGTTCCTGAGGTTACTAAAAAAAAGCTTTTCATGGTCTGTAATACCAGTAAAGCGCTGTTCATTACGTTCAGCCGTCAGTAAACGACGTTCGGCAACCTGCTGTGCGTGGATGATGATGACGGCTCAATTAGCTGCGACCTCAGTGGGTCAGTCGTTGTTGAGGCTCCGATGCTAAGCACTACGATTAGTCG